GGGGGAGGGGGAGGGGGAGGGGGAAGGGATCCCCAGGGCAGCCCTCGGGTCTGTCTGCAAAAGGGCCCGAAGAAGGTCCTTATAACCGTTCACTTTTTAGGAGGAAAAGTCGAAAAAGCCAGCAGCGGGCTGCTTAGTCTGCAAAGAGAAAAAGCAGCAGACAACCTAATTTATCCAGTTCTGGGCAGAAAAATATGAAGCTGTTTTTCATAGCGGGGGAACTCAGTTACCAACTATTTCCATCGTCAGTTTGTGGGGTTTGCTGCCCTATGGTGATTTTGAGAGGAGGAGGAGGAGGAGGAGGAGGAGGAGGAGGAGGAGGACGGGGGGGGCTTCATGGAAGCACCACAGTCAGAGGGAAGGGCTCTCTAAACGCCAGTGGCTGAGGGGACCTGGGGGGCCACCAAACAGGTGGGCCTGGATGGCCCCTGAGGGTAGCCAGAAGCGAGATGAACCGTGGCGCTGCCAGGCCGGGAGCTCCCTGGCACATCAACCTTCAGGCAAAGCACCAGCCCGCCCTCCTGGCTGCTCACCGCCAACTTGCGCCCTTGCATCAGGGTGATGCGGTAGCCGAACACCTCGATGTAGACCTCGCGCAGGAAGGAGAAGCGCTGGAGGGCCGAGCGGCGATAGTTCCTGCCCGCCACCGAGAGGGGCTCCAGCGCCTCTGGCACTCGGCCCAGCGTGCGGGTCAAGGTGTAGGTGCACCGCCCTTGGAAGTGGTGGACAAAATTGTCGAAGGTGCGGTAGTGGGGGTCCCCCGAGATCACACACTGGTGGAAGGCTGCAAGGGACAGAGCGTTTGCGAAGCTGGGGGGCTGAGCCCCGTGCAGAGGGGAAAAGGTGAGCAGGGCAAGGCGACCGCCCCCTCAGTCCCGGGCGCCCCACGGACTCACTGGTCGGCCGGCAGTAGCGCAGCCCCTCGGTGCTAATGGAGCACTGGGATCCTGGCAGGCACTGGAAGGGCTGGCACTTGATCTCCCCCCCGCCCAGGCAGGTGCAGCGTTTCAGGCAGTCATTGGTCACCCAGGTGTCTCCAGACTGGAAAGGAAGCGAAGTGGGTCAGGCTGGGCTCCAGGATCTCACTGGCCAGCTGGGTGGACCGCTCAGCTGCCCCCCGGCTGGTTTCAAAAAGCTAAATCACATCAGTGCGTTGGAGGGGAGACCACTAGGAAATCTCCACTTGATAAACCTGAAAAGATCCTGGGGGGAGCCACATCCGTGCTGTTGCCAGGAAACTACAGGAGTCAGGAGACTTTGCCTAAGGCCAGCAGCTGTTCTGATCGTGGGGCAGCCAAAGATAACTAAAAACGTTCGGCTCAGCGTGACCGAGGATGGCAGTCCCGGCGCAAGACAGGCGGCCCTGCATCCCCCTCGGGCCCATGCGCAGGCCCCTTTCTGCCTCCTTGGGGTCGGGCGCCTTCCTCCACTTACCTCATGGTATTCCTGTTCGGAGTCCAGGCATCCACACTTGTGCATTGGGACGCAAGTGTAGTCGCTGAGCACGTAGCCCCGGTCACACGCACAGCCCTCCACGCAGGGTGTGGGGTGACGGCAGTTGGTGGGGGCATAGAGGTCGGAGCACGTGGAGGGGCAGGGAGGCGCGCATTCGGTGTAGTGGCTGTTTGGAGGGCACGGCAGAGCTGGACCAGAAAGAAGGGAGGGGAAGCAGGGAAAAGGCCGTTACGATTTTGGGAAACAGAGAATCTCAGAAACTTTTTTTTTTTAAACCAAGCGGCCAGAGATATTTCTCGCAAAATATGTGTGGGTTGGGGGCGCTTTTACACTATTAGCATCAATAACATCAGATGCAGAATTCAAGCAGAGATTCCGTGCTAGTAAAGTGCTTTCTCGTCTATTTCTACTTCCTATTTCTATTTGCCTATTTCTAGGGCCAAGTTCTTTTTAGAATGTTTACTAAAAAATTAGCTCTGCCCAAAAAAGAACCTCTACAAATGTAATTGAAAGCTTTCTGCTTGACAGTTTCTGTCCCCATCATTACTTCTCCATATCCCACCAGCTTAACTATTGATGAGGAGCCTCCTTATAACGCCAGGTAGCTCCTCTTTAATATTCCTTTTTAGCCTTCGGACAAGATTCCTCCCCATTTTCTTCTCTTTCCATATCATCTGCAAAATGTCCCCATGCCGCTATAAAAGAAATGGAGAGAAATGCCGAAAAAGCCAATACATCAAAGTCCAGGTGGGACCAAAAGGGACAACGAGGAACAGTCAAGCAGGGCATTCTCAAGACGCATTCAAGAAAAAGGAATTAAAAGCCAGGCAGAAACTTATCACCCAAAGCTTTAAATTGAAGTCCCTGAAAATGGCCTAGGCATTTTTCTTCATGGCATTAGGCTGGCCAGTGCTCTGATTGCATTTGGGGGGAGGCTAAATAATAACAACCATAAAACAGGTATGAAAAAAGTAGGTAGACAACCACATAACATTGCTGTTGTCGGATAACACACCGACAACGGAGAGGCTACTGTGGAAGACAAGAAGGTGGAGCGAAAGAAGAAGAAGGACACCGTCCACCTTCCGAACGTCCTTCCCGTGCCGTGTTCTCCTGACCTCCCTCCCATTCGTCCTAATCCTTTGCGCCGCCTGTTCTGTCCTTTCTGCGCGTGACCGTTGGGGCTCCGGTCCGCTCTCCCCTGGAGCACTTACGGCAGAAGGTACTGTTTCTCCAGGAGATGTTGGTCACGCCTTGACTTTTGCACGCTTCCACGTAGGCTTGGATGTTATCGCAGAGGACAGAGGTCATTCCCTGGTACTCGCACATGTCATAAAGACAGTTCTGGAAGAAAAGCTTGGGGTCGATGACGGAGTGGCAAGACTGGTACTTGGGCTCCATGATCTCCAGGCACAAGACGTGAAGGCGCTCCAGTTCTTGGTGGGAGCAGTTGGGGTGCAAGTCCAGACGGTCGTCTGGCTGACAGCTATTGGCGTAAAGAAGGAAAGAAGAGGAAGGCGGCGTTGGGCTAGGAAGAACATACTTTGCCCCGAATCGAATGACAGGGAACAGGCGGTAACGTAGAGGCTAAAACTAGGGCTGTTTCTCCATTGACATTTTTGGGAGTTAGTGAAATACTGCTTCTCACAGTTGGCTGGAAGCCTTTTCCACACAGATTATACTAAAATGCTATTTTTATCTAGAAGTGTCTTCCTATCCAGCCATGTTTATTCTATAACACTGTTTTTCAAGCTTGGCCACTTTAAGATGGGTGGACTTAAGATGGGTGGACTTCAAGACTTTAAGATGGAAGTCCACCCATCTTAAAGTGGCCAAGGTTGAAAAACACTATGTTTACATGCAGGTGTCCTATGCAGCAAAGATCCTTTGCAAAATTAGTTATAAGCTTCCCGCTGGTTAGTTTACTGCCCAACCTTCCCCCAACAACTTACCCTGGATCAGCATCACCGGGGGCTTTCCAACTATTCCCAAACTGGGTGTCGTTGGCAGCCAAGTTCCCATTCGGCATCAGATAGTCATCTGCGCTCTGGTTATTGAAGTTACCGCACATGCCACAAACCTGGGATGGGAAGATGAATTAACTAGCAAAAAGTCAAGACTCAAAGAAGGGTGAGGGGACTGGGTTACCCACGGTGTCTGACAGAGGGACCTGCGGGGATAATCCAGAGGACAAGATTCAGCCTAAAAGCCTTCCTCTTGCACAGAATGTCCTGCACGTACTGAGGACAAACATTGAGGGGTTTATGTGCACACATTATAAATATGTGATGCTTCTAAAAAGATCAGATGTTACGTGTTAATTGCAGAGAGATCAAGAATGCAGAAGAAGGGTGTTTTAAGAGGTCAAGAAAATGAGTGCAGGAATCAGAAATCCAGGGGCCCGTGAAGCAGTCGACCTACGGCGTGCGGTCAGAAGCATAAAAGGGCTGGACACGCAGGTCAGGTGCTTACCTTCCCAAAATACATTCCAGGCAGCTGAATCTCCAAGTGATGGTTCCCATCAAACTTCACCATCAGCCCAAAATTGGTCTCCAGGACTACATAGATCCCCCTGGAAGTGATGGAGACCCCGGGGATGCGGCCCTCCACGGGTGTTCGCACGCGCTGGCCATCAATCTGTGGTCAGGTGAGAGAGAGAGAACGCGGGTCACTTTGCATCATTAACCCAGACACCTGGCCGTTACAGCTTTGTCTCCTTTTTCCAATTTGGTTAGAATTCAGACGGTAGAGTAAGAAATCAGTTTAAATTTGTAAGAGGAGGCACACTTCTGAGCGTGACCGAGGAACTAGGGAGCTGGTCGCTTTTTAAGTGTGCTGAGAAAGAAGGAATCAAGAGCTCTTTCCCAGGGTTATGGCATCCGTGCTGCAAAAGTTGACCTCCCATCGCTCCCCCTAGTCTTTTGGCCTGTAACAATGGCAGGGCAGCCAGAAATTCACCAGGCAAAAACCTTCCCCATCACACCATCCACAGGGGGTATGTGCATGTGGGGGAGAAACTGCTTCTCTTGAATTTCCATCAAAGGGGGAAACCAAGGCACTGTAGAGCAGTGTTTCTCAATGTCGGCAACTGGAAGACGTGTGGACTTCAACTCCCAGAATTCCCCAGCCAGCTTGGCTGGCTGGGGAATTCTGGGAGT